TTAAAAAAATGAAAACTAGTGACAAAAAACCCGACTGGAAAAATCTATTGTGACTGGAATATTTTAAATATTTTTGTGTTTATACGACCCAGTAATTTTCTTTGTAAAGTAAAAAGGAAGGGACCTTCTAAAAGTTTTTGGTAAAAAAAGCGCATCAAAACCAATATCTCCCAATGCACATGCGAAATTCCTTACAATAGGGGAGACCGGGGCTAGTTGGCCGCAGGGGTAAGTTGACGAATTGCGTTTATCTTTAAAGCCTTTCATCAGAAAGTGATAAAAATTACACAGAATCTTCCTAATTGACTGTTTCATCATTCAATGTAGTATTGTCAGGATTCGCGCATGCGCATGGGAGATATTAAGATTTAAGTGTTTTTTGGACAAAAACGTAACTTTTGAAACATCGCTTCCTTTTTACTTTACAAAGAAAATAGTTAGTCAAATGGAAAAAAAATTATTGTAAAAGTTCTAGCCACAATTGGTTTACTATAATCAGTTTGACTTTTTTTAAAAGTTGCCGTTTTTCAGGATCTATAGACTGTTTATTGAAAAAAAAGCCTTCGGGGTAAGTTGACAAAATTTTTTCGGGGTAAGTTGGCTCATAGCATTTACTATGGAGAAAAATATTTATTTTTATAAAAATAATTTTTTTAATTTTTTTAATTTTTAACAATATTGAAAAAACTTATTCTTACAAAAAAATTATAAAAATTTTTTTTTTAGGTTTTTTGTAACAGGTAAAAAGAGGGCTGCTGTTTTGGCTGTTATACGTACTAATATTTAGCACAAGCTAAAAATAATATCAAATTATTAGCTTAAATTGTTGCCAAAATTAATAGGTAAAAAATTTCTATTAATTTTGCACTTAATAGTACATTAATAATCACGTTTATAGTTTGCGTCAACTTACCCCGTGGTGGGGTAAGTTGGCGCAATTTTTTTTTTTTTTTGAGGGCCCCGTAAGGCCCCAAGAATTTTTTTTTGTAAATCCATGAAACTTTTATAAGTTACCCAAGTTCATACGCTTTGAGACTACACTTTAATATTTTCAAAAAAGTGTGCTATTAGGGCTACAGAGCTCATAGAGTAAAAACCGAGCCAACTAGCCCCGGTCTCCCCTACTCAATTAAAAAATGAATTTCTCAAATGAAGTTTCAACGTAATTTCTTGCACTTTCTGATGAAAAGCTTTAAGATATATTCATTCCGTCAACTTACCCATGCTGCCAATTAGCTCTGAAGATCCAGCGTTTTTTGGTATTTGAGAAATTAATTTTTAAACTTAGTGCAAACTTGAAACATTTATATTTTTATACTTATGACAAATAAAGTTGCTTTACAAAAAATTGCCAGGACTGGAGCCTGGAAACAATACTTTTTGTGATCTATTTGGTCGTAATTTTTGTTGCACTTTAGTCATATTATCATCCAAACCTACGTAAATTTTATCTTCCAAATCTAGGTCATCATATCATCCAAACCTACGTAGGGCAAACTTTTTTGGTTAAGAATATTCATACATGTTCGACGGTGTTATTTATTTTAATTTCTTTATATAGTTAATATTCTTTGATTGTTTTATTGTTAAAAAAATTTACCATCCACATTATAATTTTTTACTATTAAATAATTTGTAATTATGTCAGAACGAAACAAGATCATCAAAAATATATTACATCCTCAATATTTTATGCTTATCTACTGCTAATTCCATAGGTTATATGAGATAATACAGAAGCTGTTGTCATGCAATTTAAATTATGATAGTACTTGGGTAAAGTTGCTAAAGATGATACGTTTTTAGACGCTCAAGATGAGATGCGCCTTTTTATTAAGAAAGACGCGCTTTTTTAAAGTTATTCTCCACGGAACTTTATTTTAGTATTTCAAGAGCGAAATTTTTTTTTAAAAATAGAATCGCATACTTTTTTAGAGATAAGAAAGATTTAATTACTTTTTTTTATTATAGTCTTTAAAGATATCATTATTAAATTTTTTTGTGTGATTATTTTTTTGTTATTTTGAATTTTTTTTGGTTCCATTAAAAAAGGTCATCTTAAGATGCTGGTTTCCTAAGATGAGATGATTGGGTGTGTTGAAAATAACGCAATTTTTTGTATAAATTTTTGGTATAAATGTTTGGTATAAATGTTTGGTATAAATGTTTGGTATAAATGTTTGGTATAAATTTTTGGTATAAATTTTTTTTTTAATGAACTAATCATTTATATTCTTTAAGAGGAAGGATTAAATCATGATTATCTGCAAAAATAAATATAATTATTATAATATTTCGGCTTCAAAAAAACAATAAACTGTTAACATGCTCAACATACGCAACCTTTCCATAAATCATATCATCCAAACCTTCGTAAATTTTGAATCAACTAAATAATAAACAATTGTTTTATTATGAGATCGAATTGTAAGAGCTTTATAAGCTATACACTTTGCTTTTAATATTTTTAATTTTATTTAACTAGACGCCAGTTTTAATTTAATTAAGAGAGACTTACTCTTCTATACGGTGAGCGAAAGATACTATGACTCAAAATGAGGTTTTGATTTTTTGAAAAACGAAGACCAGATATATTACTGAATTGGGGAGAAATGTAGGAGAGTGCTTCTACATTGACTAATTTAGGGATAACATGCAAGGGAATGCAGCTACATCGACTGAGGGTTTGGGTTAAGACAGGTATAGATTAATCGATGTAGCAGCACTCTCCTATATATCTTCTCAAATCAGTAATATATCTGGTCTTCGTTTTTAAAAAAAATCAAAACCTCATTTTGAGTCATAGTATCTTTCGCTTACCCTTCAATACAAGTTTTTGAAAAATGTTGACGTAATTAAACGGATGATGTTATTTTAATACTGTTATTTTAATACTGAATATGAAATTCGAATTTTTAAAGGCCGTTTTCCACAAAACGAAATATTCGCGCGAAGCGAATTTTTTCGTCGTTAAGCATGCGCAGATTAAACATTTTTGGTGATAACACTGATTTTTTTTCGCTACAGCGTTTCGCTGCAGCGAAAAAAAAAGCCGACTTTTTGCGAATCGCCATAGGCGAAAACCAATCAAGTTTTGAATATTATATCACGTGGTGTCAACATTAAAAAAAAGCGGAAACATGTTGTTTTTAAAGTAACAAAAAACAAAATTCTTAACCTGTGCGTTCTTATTAATTTTATATGAACTTACTCTAGCATGAGTAAATTTATCAAACAAGGGGCACGACTTACATAAAAAAATGACCAGACTTATATATAAAACTAAATCGAGAATTTACAAATATAAATTTTCACACTGTCAATTACGAAAGTTACACTTCATAAGAATGTTTATCTTTAAGTGGCCACACGAAAATAAATCTTTTTGTGAAAAATTCTACATAGAGTTAAACCTGCTGTTCGTTCTTGCAGTAACAGTTTTTAATAGAAATGTCCATATCAGAGTTTAGCATTTATTTTCTTATACTTTCTTGTAAAGAAAGTATAAGAAAATAAATGCTAAACTCTGATTTCCACTTAATTTCGAAAGAAAGTAAGTGGAAATCAAAACAGCTTTTCGTTATAGCGAAAAAATTCGCTTCGCGCAAATATTTCGTCTTGTGGAAAACGGCCTTAAAATACCTCGATAAACAACATAAAATTTTAAAACTTTACATTGAAAAAACCAGATTGCCTTTTTTAGCACTAATCATATCCTTGTCTACTATGTATAAATCCTATTCTTTGTGTATGTATAAATCCTATTTTTGTACAATTTATTTAAGAAAAAAAAATGAAACAAAAATGATATTTAAAAATTTTTTTAAGTTGTGATCCCATTCGCAAGAAAATAAGGTTTTATTGTTTAATTGATTGAATTTTTAAAATTAATAATACTTGGCTGGAATTTGATAAATATATAAATATTCTCTCGTTAGTTTTACAAAATAATCAATTTTTCAAAAAAGTTATTGACTTAAAATTTTATGGTGAAAAGAAAACAAACCCATCTGTTTTAAACATTGTTAATAAGAAATCTTCCATAACGTACGCTCGGATGGGGAGAGGCGGCCCAAATGGCGTATCTAAGATAGGCGGCAGGGGTCAATTATAAAAGTAAGGAGACACTAAATTAAAAAAAATATTATAAAATGTTGAGTAGGTATGATAAAAGCATAGATACTATTAGGGAGGTAGAGGGTACTCAGAAAAGCGTATAGCAAATAAAAAATAAAAATAGTTTTTTCACGAATAACAAATCGCGAAAATTATTTTTGAACTTCGGTAAAGAAATTTAAAGAATATTCGTTATTTGACTTTATCTAAATTCGATTGGCAATAGGTCTACGCTATCCTATATTTTTAAAGGACAAAGTTAAATAATTATCTTTTTTTATTTATTTATTGGCATATTTTTAATCACTTGACCAAGTCATAAAAAAAAATTTAGTTTTTTTTAAAAATAGAAACAATTGTTCAATTTTGACAAGGAGTTTTTGTTTCATAGCGTTTAAATTGTTTATGATTCAAAATCGTTATTTTACGCGCAGTTGTGTTGCTGTTTTGATTTAATTATGAAATTATTCAAAAGATTAAAGTCCATCCGAGATGATGTTTACAAAAATAATCGATAAATAAACACGGTATGATATTTAGCCAATCAAAATGCAAGCTTAAAAATCAATATTCATTTCTGTTTATTATTATCAATAAAATAACAGCTGATATATATTTTTAATTTAAAATATTAATTGTGTTGAGTTCAAGCAAAAAAATATAAGAATTTTTTTTTTTTGCTTTCTACTAATTTAATTGAAAAAATTATTCAATTTATTTTAAATACTTTAACTTATATACTTATATAATATATTTGTTTTTTGATTTTAAATATTGTATATTTAACTTTTAGGTTTTAAAATATGAATAAAATCAGTTTTTTAAATGGAAATTTTTTGCCTCACAGCGAATGTTTTGTTCATATTGATGATCGCGGTTTTCGAATGGCTGATGGAGTTTATGAAGTGATTGCACTGAAAAATAATAAACTAATTGACTTAGATTGGCATATAGAAAGACTTTTTCGCTCTCTTAGCGAAATAGAAATTAAATTTAGTTATAGCAAAAAGCAATTACAAGAAATTATTGGAGAATTATTTAAACAGAACAATCTAAACGAAGGCTCTGTCTATTTGCAAATTACTAGAGGCTGCGCACCGAGACAACAAACCTTTCCGGAAAATTATGTTCCAACAGTTATCGCAACGGTTTCCTCTCTTCCAATAATTAAAGCTGAAAGTTTAGAAGATGGTTTTACTGCAATTACGCATCAAGATATCAGATGGCAAAGATGCGATATAAAATCAACATCTTTACTAGCAAGCTCTTGGATAAAAAACAAAGCGATTTCTTTAGGTGCTGATGACGCAATTTTGATTAGAGATGGATATGCTTCTGAAGCAACATTTTCAAATGTTTTCATAGTTGATAAAAACGATAATTTAATTACTAGAAACGCTGACAACTTTATTTTATGTGGAATTACTAGAAACAGAATAATCGATTTAGCAAAAAAGAACAATATTCCAGTGATAGAAAAAAAATTTAGTGTTCACGAAATGTTACAAGCAAGTGAAGTATTTTTAACAAGTACCACATTATCAGTAAGACCATTTTCTAAAATTGATGGACATATTATAGGTGAAGGAAAAGTTGGAAAAATTACCTTAAAACTTCTCTCTCTATATAAACAATTCAGCAGCTAAAAATGTTAAACAACAAAAGTATTATAACTTTAAATAAAATTAAACAGTCAAGACACATAATTCGTTCACAAAAACTCATGAACGTTACAGAAAGCAATGCCTTAAGTATAGATGTCATCGGAAACTGTTTTCGTGACCTCCCTCTTAGAACTACTATACTTTTTCCAAATTTGGGTTTCTAAATTAAATTATTTCTGAATTTAAAAAGTTCCCACGTTTTCAAGAGAGTTTTACATTAACAAGTGAATCGATTTTTATCGTACAAGATAAAATAATCTAAAATAATCAAAATCTCTAAAATTGTTTTTAGCAGCAACTGCATAATTACTAAATTATATCAAAATGTAAACAATAAATCTATTATAAAATAAATTATACATCCATTTATATAATATAACTTTCAAAAAAAGTCAAATAAAATTTTCCATCTTGAATATATTATAGAAAAAAAAAACTCACACCCTGAGTAAAGTTTTTTTCAAGTTTTATTGTGTAACTATCATCAAGAGACAATTAGTTACATCAAAGTATACTAAAAAATATATCAATTGACAAAACTATATTAACCACACAAGCAATAAGTTTAACTCGATGCATAAGTTTTAATCTATACAACTTTTTTTTTTACTATTTTGACAAGTTAAAAGTAAAAACTTCAGAAAATTGGAACATTGATAAAGCTTGAATCTTAAAAGAACTTCGACCTGACCATATGACCATATGACCAAGCTTTTGATACAATCGATCACCAAATTCTCCTTTAAAAAGTTAAATATTATGGAATTAAAGGAAATATTTTAAAGTTACTTCAAAGTTACTTAAGTAACCGCAAACAGTTTGTTTATAGTAATGAAGTTAACCCATCTAATTTATTAAACTTAACCTGTGGAGTTCCGCAGGGCTCGATATTAGGAACCCTTCTCTTTCTCATTTATATTAATGATCTTCATAAAGCTTCTAATTTGATGTCAGTCATGTTTGCCGATGACACTAACCTCTTTTTGTCTGATAATAGCATACCTACATTATTTCAAGATATGAACATGGAATTAACAAAAATATCTGATAGGTTTAAATAAATAAACTTTCACTAAATGTTGAAAAAAAAAAAAAGGACACTTTTTCATCCAGCGTCTAAAAAAAACTACTTCCTTGTAAAAAAAAACTTTTACTTTTTATTGATAAAATCCAAATAAAAAGAGTAATTAGTGCTTTTGGGTATCTATGTTGATGAAAACCTTGGAAGTACCACATTAAATTCTTGTGTAATAAAAATGCTAAAAGTATAGGAATATTGTATAAAGCTAGAGGTTTGTTAAATAAACGTAGCCTAATTCAATTATATTTCTCTTTTATCGATTGTCATTTAAACTATGCATATATTGCTTGGTGCAATGCCAATAAATGTAAACTGGAGCCTCTTTATCGTCAACAGAAGCATATGCTTCTGTTGACGAGCATTAAATTAATAAGACGAGCAAATGCGAGCCTCCGCGTTCTCCGAGCCTAATGCGAGTCTCCGCGTTCTTTTTATATTAACAAAAAAGTCTTAGATTTATCTTTTATTTATATCTCATTGAGTAACGTTTTTAATAATCTAATTGTAAATTTTTCTTAACGATCTAATTGTAAATTAATTTTTCATTGAATATATTGTAATAAGAACAAAAAAAAATTAAAAAAAAAAAATATATATATATATATATATATATATATATATATATATATATATATATATATATATATATATATATATATATATATATATATTATTGGACGCGTAGGCTTTTGTCAGATAAGTTGAGTAATTTGTTGCGAGACAATTTTTTTAAAAAATGAAACAAATTACTTTATATCTAAGAAGTCGGTCCAAGTAACTCAAAGAGAAGCAAGTTTCTAATCTGTCAATCAGTAAAAAATGAAACCAAAAAAAAAAAAAAAATTGAAGACAGTATTTTATGTCTCTTAAACAGTCATCTAAGTGCTGTGTGGGTAAAGTATTTAAGCTGTCAGTGTACGCATATTGGTTGTGTAAAAAAAGATGCCAAGGTTTTATTTTATAAATGTTTGTTCTGTATTGATTCTATAGTTTCTTTAAATCAAAACGATGATTGATCAGTAATATAAGAATACAATCTGTTGTTGTAAACAACTTTACCATAATATAAAGTTTTTACTTCATTTTATTTTATTGTTCATTGTTGTAAAGTTGTTTTTGCTGAATTGTGTGTGGCCAACTTATCCTGTTATAGGTTTATTGAAAACCAATTATGAACTTTTAATAATGTCATTTTTCGATAATCTAAGGTCTTGTTAAACTTTTTCCATAAAAAAGTAAAAACTTTTTTCAATAAAACAGTAAAAGCTGAAAAGTAGCAAAACAAAGAATTATAAAAGAGACAAATTTTCCGGTCTACTCTACATTTGAGTGATAAAAGTGAGTGACAAAAGAAAAAATAAGGTTATCTTCATGATTTTTACCAAGAACACTCATTTTTAACTAATAGTAAGATGCATACCTGATATTAAGTATGTAACAAAAAACCATTTTTTTGTTCTGAGCCAGAATTATAACCAATGCGCCACGGCTTCAAAAATTACAAATGGAAATTGGAATCCACATCTATCTATGATTAACATAATAGATGCAGATCCCTATTTCCATTATTAATTTCTCTTAAATAAAGCAGTTTTAATTGCACCTTTTTTAAGTTAATACTTCAGAAGGAAATTAACTTGGGCTTTGTACATTATTAGTTAACATAAGTCTAATAGCCTTGAATATTATCTTGGAGCAATGGAAATTGCTTATCCAAAGTCCATTAAGTCTAATAAGCCAGCCATTAAGTCATCAAATTTCGAATTTTCATAATATACTTGTGTAGCACTAATAAAATCTAAAATGTCACTCTCTTCTTCTCTGGTTTATGAAGCAAAAAATGTCTGACATTATTTTGTTGCACTAGCCATATGCAATAATATCAAAATCAATAAGCCAATATGATATGAGTACGATACCAGTCATTTATTTCATATGCGCTTGTTAACTTCAACAAATGTATTTTCTGCTTTAAGTAGTTTTTGTATGCATTTTCCGTGTGCAATTTGGTTTGTTTTTTTGATTAAAGATGTGATAAAATATCAAATCCAGACAACAACTCATCAAAGCTCTATAAATCTTTGTACATTAATTGTAACATAATTTACGATACCTCACCTCGAAAGAAGAAGACAATCCTTGTCCATAATGTGTAAAAAAATACTTTCTTCATTCTTATCTTAGGCTGCTTGATGCATTTATAAATTTTGGGGGAAGCAAATAAAAGTAGAAGAATCATTTATACAATTTAGTGGAAACAAATAAATGAGTAAAGTAGGATATACTTGTTTTGTATGAGGTTAAAATTTTAATATACTTTTGTTTTAAGGTGCATATATATTATATATTTGTATTTTAAGGCTGAAATTATGTTTTAATAGTACTTAAATATAAAAACATTTCAATTAATTTACGTGCATTTTTTTTAAAGATAATTATTTTATTGTTAACTAATAAAACTAAATAACATAAATAAAACTAAATAACTAAAATAATAAAACTAACAAATAATTAACTAAAACTAACAAAATAACTAACTAATAAGTAACTAAAACTAACAAAATAACTAACATAATAAAGCATAATAAGTAACTAACATAATAAAACTAAATAATTAATTAAAATTTTTAAGTAGTATATGCATAGGTGTAAATTGCAGTGGTAGAGTAAGTCTGAATCAACTTTTTTTTTTTTTTTTTCCATATATTTTTTACAACTACATAGCTTTAACAATACATACTTTTATTACAAATAGTTTTAACAATATATATACTTTTATTACAAATACAGTCAAAATGCTTTGAATATAACTGAAATAATACTAAGATATATTTGATATACAAAGTAATAAAATAATGTAAAAGAGTTTTTTAGTTTATATTTTGAAAAGACAAAAAAAGTCTTAAAAAAAGAAAAATTAAACCTTTAGTTAAATAGTCAAGGGAAACTCGCAGAAAACTGTGTAAAGTCTTGTCATCGAGAACCCTTTTTTTAAACAATTTCATGAGATACTCATAAATATTTTATTCATTACTTATAACATTTTTCAATATAATTAGTCGTGTTTTTAGGAAGGAACATAACAAAAACTAGTATGTATATATGTATATTCATTCTTTTTTTTTTTTTTTTTTTTTTTGTACATGATTTTGATATTTTAATTACTCATAAGTTATTAAAAAATTTCCATATAACTGCTTGAATTTAAGACAAGTTTTTTAAGATAAGATTTTAAGGAATTTATATTTTTCAGGAGAGATATTGAGGAATTTTTTGGTATTAATTTGTAAGGACCACGATATGCTATTGAGAATTGAGACAGTTTTCTTTTTTTTAAGGGGTACTATATAGTTTCCAGTTGCTCTAGTGCTAAATTTGTTTATATTAGTTTTAAAAAAGTTATTCATAAATCGACTTGGAATAATTCCCATTTTATGTTTGAACATAAACAAAATATTTTGATATATATTAATTTGGTAAATGTTTAAAGCGTTCATCTGTTTTAGTAATGGGTTTGCGCGAGCAAGTTTGTTTTTATAAAAAATAATTCTTGAGGCGAGTTTTTATCGTCTATAGAGTAAACTTAATTTAGTTTTATGGGTACTTGCCCATGCTATATTGACATATGATAGATAGCTGTGTATAAAGGAAAAATAAAGAAGTTTTAAATTTTCGAACGATAAATAATTTCTTGCTTTATAGAGTAGACCAATGTTTTTTGAGAATTCTGTATTAATGGTATTTATGTGAGAGTTCCAAGATAATTTCTCGTCAAGAAGCACACCAAGAAATTTAGATGATTGAGTTCGTTCAATGGTTGTATTGTCTATACTAAGAGTTGGTAAAATTGATGGGGTAGCCTTTTTTTTTTGGTTGGGGTGAAATAAGATGTATTTAGTTT